GCCTTGAGAGAGGTGTCTTTATTTCAAGTGAAAGGAAGTCCCAGTGCACTGAGCGATGAGACCACAGAAAGCAAGAAGTAGAAGTCGTTGTTGTCTGTTCTACTTCCCCTGATAGACATGAGAAGCCTGAGGCCCAGGGATGGGAAATAGCTCACCCAAGGCTACACAGTCTGTTCCTGGTGCAGGTCAATCTGTAATGGAGTTCTTTATCTTACAGTCCAGGGCTGGGATTGTAGTTGCTACAGATGACTATTGGCAGTTTGCACCAACAGAGGTTGGGCTAGGGCTAACCACAAAGAAGAATCTGCTGACTTGGATTTTTTTTTTTTTTTTTTTTTTTTGAGTGAGGGTTTTACTACGTAGTCCTAGATGGCAAGGAACTCACTATGTAGCCCAGGCTGGCCTCAAACTCACAGAGATCCACTTGCCTCTGTCATCCTAGAGCTGGGATTAAAGGCATTTGTGGCTGGGCAGTGGGGAAGCATACCTTTAATCCCAGCAACTGAACTGTAGGCGGGGCAAGAGGAGGGTTTGGAAGAAGCTGTGACAGTATACATGAAAGAGAAAAGAGAAGACAGACTGAGCCTGAATAGTATCAGCGTTTTCAGAGCTGTTGCTTTTCTTCTTCTAGTGTTCTGACATACAATCTCATGTAGCCAAGGCTGGCCTGAAATTCCTAATCCTGCTCCAGCCTCCTGAGTGCTGAGATTCCAAGTGTGTATTACTAAAGCTAGCTGCTGCTGCAATTTCTGGGGCAGGTATATCTGACAGGCCTGAGAGGAAGGAAGAAGGAATAACTAAGAATGACTTCTAGGGGCTGGAAGATGGCTAGAGATGGCTTAGTTGTTAAAAGTACTTGGTGCTCTTCCAGAGGACCCAGGTTTGATTTTCAGTACCCCCATGGTGGCTGTTTGTAACTCCACTTCCAGGGGATCCAACAACCTTCTCTGGCCTTCCTAATGCAAGTGATGCACAGACATACATGCAGGTAAAACACCCATACATGTTAAAAAAAATAATAAAATAAAGATAAAAAAAGAATGATTTCTGGGTTGGGCATGGTGGCACACATTTTTTGAAACAGGGTTTCTCTGTGTAGCCCTGCTGTCCTGGAACTCACTCCATAGACCAGGTTGGCCTTGAATTTAAGAGATCCACCTGCTTCTGCCTTGAAAGTGCTGGGATTAAAGGCATGTGCCAACCCCCTACCCCAAGGTGGCACACACTTTTAATCCCAGCATTTAGGATACAGAGGTAGGCTGATTTCTGGGAATCTGACAGCAGCCTGGTCTAAATAGGGAATCTAGTCCAGAGCTACATATATGGCAAGATCCTGTCTTACAAAAAAAGAAAAGATTTCCTGGACTCAACCCTAGGCACTCATAATATGGGGAATCTATTAATTTAAAGAATGTAGGCTCCTAACATTTTTTTTTTCCTCTGAGACAGGGTTTCTTTGTATAACTTTGGCTGTCGTCTAACTAGTTCTGTAGACCAGGCTGGCCTCAAACTCACAGAGATTTGCCTACTTCTGTCTCCAGAGTGCTGGGATTAAAGGCATGAGCCACCACTGCCCTGTGGATTCTAACACTTAAGCTTTCCTAGACATCTGACTTCAAATGGGCTCAAAGACAATTGTAGTCATGGAGTCTGAGACAGGTCTTGGGACTGGCTACTTCAGTCTCCAGGAAGAATCATTTTAACACTTACTTTATATTTTTCAGGATAATAATCCAGTATTAGACAAAATCCAGAGTCTTGATATGAAATAATGCTAACCAATCAGAATTTTTTTAAAGGCGCTCTGGTAAAGTTTTATCAAAGGAAAACTTTCCTGGTTTACTTTTCATCAGTCTGTTCTGGCATGCTTCTAATAATATCAGAATCACTTGGGTCAATGCTAGCCAGTATGCATACTCTGTAGTATTTTCCATATGCTGTGCCCAATTCAATGTTATTGCCACTGTAGTGAGGGACACCAGTTTTAGCCAACATGGCATAGTATTCTATTTCAGATTTCCTCAAAGCTGGGCAGTTGGTGGCAAGGATAACCAATTTCGCTTTGCCCTGTCTGATCATCTGCAGAGTCTATTTGTATCCCAGCACGTACTTTCCACTTTTCATAACAAGTTGGAGCCTAGAGTTGACTCCAGAGACTTTTTCGTCTTCTTTGAGGCCACCATCTTCCTGCCTTACGTGTGGGACAGCTCCCAACCAAGTTCAGCCTCCAAGATCCAGAATTTTTTTTTTTTGAGATGGGGTTTTGCTATGTAGTGCAGACTGGAATCAAACCTGCCGTAGAGCCTAGGATGATCTGAAACTCAGTAGTTTCTGTCTCTGCCTCCAGAGTGCTGATATTGCAGGTGTGTACCAGTTCATTCAGTTAGGAAATCTATCAAATGTATCCTTGTGAATTTGCTTACTCATTGTGTGGCTTACCTAACAGAATGGTGCACTATACATATATTTGTTAGAAAAATGACTGTTAGTTTCCTTACATTCTCCTTGGAGTTGAGTGTATGTGGGTGTGCTGAGTTGAGTGTATGTGGGTGTTCTGGTGTGTGTGTGTGTGTTTGTTAGAGAGAGAGAGAGAGAGAGAGAGAGAGAGAGAGAGAGAGAGAGCGCGCTCTCTATAGTTCTGGATCTTTCCTACCAAACCTTTACCTTTTTGTTTGATACAGGGTCTCATGAACTGATCCTCTGGCTCCCATTTCTAAATGCTAGAATTACAAGCATGGACTACTGGCTTTTTGCTACTATTATTATTAATTAGTTAATTTATTTATTTTTGGTTTTTCGAGACAGGATTTCTCTGTGTAACAGCCTTGGCTGTCCTGGAACTTACTTTGCAGACCAGGTTGGCCTCCAACTCACAGAGATTTGCCTGCCTTTGCCTTCCGAGGGCTGGGGTAAAAGGCAAGCTCCACCACACCTGGCTTATTATTATTATTATTATTATTATTATTATTATTATTTTGGTTTTTTGAGACAGGGTTTCTCTGTGTAGCTTTGGAGCCTATCTTGGAACTCGATTCGTAGACCAGGCTGGCCTTGAACTAACAGAGATCCGCCTGGCTCTGCCTCCTGAGTGCTGGGATTAAAGGCAGGCGCCACTGCTGCCCAGCATGAACCATGACCATAAATGCTAAGTACCAATGTATGTACTTTAGAATAGTTATTATTATTATTATTGTTATTATGTTTTTTGAGATAGAGTTTTTTTGTGTAGTCTTGGCTCTCCTGCTCTGTAGATCAGGTTGTCCTCGAACTCAGAGATCTGCCTGCCTCTGTCACCTCAGTGATGGGATTAAAGGTGTGTGCCAACACTGCCAAGCTCTAGGAGAGTTATTAGTATGGATCCCATGAAATTATCATCTCCATTTACAGTTAAAATCAATGACAAAACTTTCCCTGGGGAGATGCAATACACATGTCCACTCACCCCAGATAGGGAGATAGGGAACTCACGACAGACCAAAGTTCATCTTGGTCAAACAATAAGTATTATTGGGGTTACTTATAAGAATATGAAGGGATATGAGAGAGGGGTTACTTACAGGAGCAGAAAAGACTCAAAGACAGCCGCATCACCAAGGCCCACCCCAGCATGGGTGACAGCTCACAGAATTGGGATTCCTGGATAACACTCCACAGCCTGCAGGCCACTCAACAGGTTGGAGAGTATTCTTTCCAGGTAACTCTGGTCTAAACCTCTTCTAGGCAGTTTGGCTGGTTTCAGAGTCTTTGCCGCTTTGCTCTTCTGAGAGTCTTTTTTGCAGCCTGGCTCTGGTCTGAGAGGAACACTGAATTCTGGCAGAGAGGAGCCTGGTGAATCTGGTTGGTTTCAGGAACTTCCTGAAGCTATTTTGAGTTGTTTACCTTCATGCTTAAGGAGCTTCCCTGGAGGATGGAAAGTTCTGATGTTAAAGGAAACTGTTACACAACAGTGATTTAGAATAGATTTAGAAGTCTTCCACAAGTTTACACAATTTGTTAGGCTGTGTTGAGATTTTACAGGGAATATGGGTCATCAGCATTTTGCCACTGGCATCCTATTAATAACTCTATTGAGAGTGACTATTATCTAACTATTATCTAATTTTCATAAGTGAGGAAATTGAACCTTAGTTTTCTCAAGGCTACACAGCTACAAAACACAGCTGTGCTTTCTCAACAAGTCTTCCTAGTAACCTCTATAGGGCTGAGTTTACAACCCTATCACCTGGCTACCTAAATTAAAGCCCCACTAGGCAAATACTGCCTTGTCATTATGTTGTTACTAAACTTGTCTGTCCCCTCCTTCATAAACAGGGAATGAGGAGGGCTGGAGAGACGACTAAACTGTGGCCAGGCTCACAACCAAAAATATAAACAGGAATGAGGATCTATTTCCTAACCATATAGGATTGTTGTGATTAAGAGCTAGTGTTGCTATCTGGGAGATGGAATAAGCACTCAAAAGGATTAAGTACCATTGTTTCTTCCAGACCAGTACTATCCACAGGCAATATAATGTGAATCAAACATAGTGAGACTCTGTCTCAAAAAAAGGAGAGGGTGGAGGAGGAGGTAATTAAGCTGGGTGTGGATGCTGCCAGGAATTCGGGAGGCTGAGGCAGAAGGACTGCCATCACTTTGAGGCAGGTGGGTGATAGTGAATTTCAGGCCAGCCTGTGCTATGGTGTGAGACTCTGTCTCAAAAAATCAAAACCAAACAAAGGCGATTTTTAAGTAACTGAACGGAATAAAACTAAAAGAAACATGAAATTAAGTTACTAAATACTCGCCAAACTATATAATTAGTTTTGCAATAAACAATGTCCCTTCTCAACTTGGTCGAGTCACATTTCAAGGCCGGCTCTAGGGAGCTGCCCAGAGTCGTGCCCTCTGCTCGCCCGTCAGGGTTCCCTGCGGCAGAGGGCCCAAGGACCCGCCCCCGCCCCTCCCAGATGACATCATAGAGCCCACCAGTCAGCGCCCGCGGGGCCCACTTGGGCCCACCCGCACCCCGGCCGTGTGCGCCTGACACCAGCATCCTCCCTGCTGGGAAAGGAAGCAGTGGCCATCTCAGAACGGCGGAGGCGGCCTGAGGCTCGCCCTTCGCGGAGGTACCCGCGGGCAGGAGGCCGCAGCCTAGACCTCCGACGCGCGCCTCGCCAACCGTCCGTCGCTCGTGCCGCTTCCACGGAGAGGTCGAGGCGCAGGGGCAGGCGTGGATTGGCTGGCGGCGCTTTGGCCCGCCCCTCGGTGGCGCCCATTGGTTGGGGCGGCGGCCGCTGGTTGTGGGGGACGCCCCGCCTTCGTGCCGGCCTTCAAGAGGGCGACGAGGAAGCGGCCACCTCCCTGCGCCCCGCCCCTCCGGCTTGCTCTGTGGCTCCCGCGGCTCCTCCCGGCTGCTCCCGGCTCCTCTCTGCCCTCTCCCGGCTTCCTGCGGCTCCGGCTTGGGCTTGGCGGCGGCGGGTGAGTGCTGGTGAGGTCGGGATCCGAGGGTCGGCCTCTTCACTGTCCCCCCCTCTCCCCCGAGACACTGCCCTAGGTCCTCCTGGTGACCGCTGGGGACCCCTGCAGGTCCCGCCCGAGGCGGGGAAGGGCGGTGGCTGCCCGCCTGCGGACGCCCGGGTAGCTGCTAGAGGGGGCCCGGCGGGGGGCCTGCGGGCGTGACCTTCCGAGTCTCGGTGGCGCCTTCTGAGGGGACCGTAGGGGCCGAGACGGGCCAAGAGATCCTGTTTTAGGGCGTCTGGGGCTGTGGAGCCGAGCGGCTTGCCCCAGCCTGGGCATGTGCTGAGTCCAGGCACCGAGGGTCGGCTACAGCCTGGGGCCTTGGGTGGGGTTCGGGGGGTTGGGAGATGCAGAACGCCGGGGACGTTTCTCCAGGCTTCAGGAGGGGCGTCAGTGGATGTGGGGACTGAGGATTGCCTCCGCGTGTCGGGTTTGGGGGTTATGGGTGGGGCTGAGGGGTGGTCCGCAGATCTTAACTCGAGCCCTTGTGTGCGTGGGCCCCGCACAGTTTGGCGACTGATGCGCTTCTAGTGTCTGGCTTCGGGAATGCAGAGGGGTCACTGTAAGGGTGCAGAGCCGGGAAACTTAGGGAGCAGGACTAGCAGCGGCCGTTGGAAACGTTATTCAGAGCAGAGATTGTGGTTTATTTAGCACACGGGACGAGCTCTTTTGGACTGTTACAGCCGGAGCTCAGCTTTGGTTGAGATTGCCTCCTGGGCGTGTTTGAGAGGTTTTGCTTATCTCCATTATTGTGTAGATTAAGTGCGTTTGCTGCTTTAGGGGAAGAGATTGATTTCCCCACAGGCTTGTGTTAGGAATCCAGAACTCGCCCTCTCCCGGGGTGAGGTGGGGTGGTGTAGCTGTACTTCTCAGGGAAGAGTAGTGTTACCCAGCTTTCTCCTGGAATCCCCCTTTCCCTCCTCTGGTCCAGTTACAGCATTTCTCCTCAGGGTCCCTGCAGTGTGTCTTGCTCCCTGTGAGTGTCTCCCGCCCATTTCCCTACTGCTGCACTTTTGGCAACTGCCTCTGCTCTTTCCCAGGGATGGTTGTGGCATTGCATCAGGGGATATTTGTGCTTGTAATTTGCTCACTCAGCCCAGGAGGAGGGAGAATAGTATGGTGCAGAGATGGGGGGGCGGGAGGGTGGCAAGTGGGTGGGGGGGGCGGTTGCCGGCAGCTTGGCTGGGTAGGCAGAGCGATGGGTGTGGTGAGGGAAATACAGCTGCTCCAGGCCTATAGGGTAACACTGCCCAGTCATCAGCGTAGAGATTCAAAGACCAGCAATAGCAGCAGCTATTTTTATAAATCAATCCTGAATCCAAGTTGAGCACATGGATTTAGAGTGAACAGTTGTCAGGTCCTAACTATGACAGGCTGTGTGTTTGGTAGACAACACTACAGTTGCTAAGCAAGAAGCTCCATCTATCTGTACAGTGCAGCAGATACTTGTAACTCTGTAACTTTGCTTTTTCTCCACTCTCTAGAATGGGAGTGAGTTCAGGTGATGGCTTTTCAATTGATGGAGTTTGATCGCCCATAGCACTTCCTTTCAAAGGTGATATTTTTATCTCAGTTGTAATCTCATTTCATATTTAGCGTTAGGTGATTAAAGCTATTGTTTTTTTTAGCCAGTACCATCTTCCAGGTACTTTGGGTCCTCTCTCTCTCTCTCTTTCTTTCTCTCTCTCAAAGGGAATATAGTCATGCAAAGCAAACTCAGCAGATTGGTAAATCAGGTTCCAGTGAGTGTTGAAAGTATTGATGCCTTGTACACAATTGGATTTAATTATCCACTGGCCCAAAATACCTCCATTGTTCCTGGTAGCCTAATCAGTAAAACAGTTGACTATAATATTGGAATGAGGGCAATGAATGTTCTCAGGGATATTTTAATCAAGTTATTGAAGCTTAGTTGAGTTTGCCTTCTTTTCCTATTGTTAACAACACAAACACTGAAGTTGGAAAGTGCAAGAGTGTGTCTTTTATTGTATTTTATTTGCCTATTTATTTATTTTATTTTTTTTCTCTCGAGACAGGGTTTCTCTGTGTAGCTTTGCGCCTTTCCTGGAACTCACTTGGTAGCCCAGGCTGGCCTCAAACTCACAGAGATCCACCTGCTTCTGCCTCCCAGTACTGGCTGGGATTAAAGGCGTGCGCCACCACCGCCCGGCTTATTTGCTTATTTTTTACATTTATTTGGGGTGTGTGTGTATACGTATGCCACATCATGAGTCGGGTGGAGGTTAAAGGACAACTTTGGGAGTCAGTTTTCTTTATTTACCATGAGCTTTTTGGGTATTGAACTCAAGTCCTCAGGCTTGGCAGCAAGTGCTTTTGTACTCATTGAGCAATTAGACCTTCCCGTTATCATCATCATCATCTTTTCTTTTTTTTTGAAACAGTGACAGGGTCTCTATCTCTGGCTGTCCTTGAACCCACAGAGATCCATCTCCCTGTGCCTCTGGAGACTTGTATTATTTTTGAAATTTTTATTTTAGATTTAATTTTATGCATAAGTGTGTTTTCTTGTGTCTCTATGTGCACCATGTGTGTGCCTGGTGCTCATGGAAGTAAGGAGGGGGTTGGATTCCCTTAGACCTGGAGTTTGCAGATGGCTGTGAGTGCTGTCAACCAAACCTGGGTCCTCTGCTAGAGCAACAGTCTTAATCTCTGAGCTATCTCTCAAGCCTCTGTTATTTAGATTTCTTTCTTTCTTTCTTTTTTTTTGAGACAAGGTGTATTCTGTAGCCCAGTCTAGACTGGCCTCATGGCAGTTGCCCATGAGCTCATGGCAGTCCTCCTGCCTCAGCCTTCCTTTTTAGTGTTTTGAGACAGGGTTTCTCTGTATAACAGCCTTGGCAGGCTGGCCTTGAACTCAAGAGAACTAACTGCCTGCCACTGCCTCCCCAGTGCTAGGATTAAAGGCAAGACACCCTTTTTTTTTCTTCAAGATAGGGTTTGTCTGTGTAGACCAGACTGTCCTGGAACTCCCTCCATAGACCAGGCTGGCCTCCAATTTAGAGATCCACCTGTGTCAGCCTCCTGTGTGCTAGGATTAAAGGCATGAACATAAAGGCATAACCACCACTGCTGGGCTATGTGTCAGCCTTTCAAATGCTAGGATTGTAGGTATCTGTCACCATACCCAGGTTGGGGTGTGTCCCAATACTCTCCCTTCCCAGGCTTAAAAACAAATCTATTCATATGTTTAACAGTGTGCCTGTGCTAAAATCTCAAATATACAAATAAGGTTAAAGTCATTTTCCATTGTTTGCTGACAAGCGAAGGAAGCACCTGGAATCTCTTTTCCCCCTGAGACTGGGGTCTTGTATTGCCCAGGCTGGTCTGGAGCTTCTGGACTCAAGCCATATTCTTTCTTGCTTAGGATTATCACAGTTATATCTCCACATCTAGCTTTGGGATTTCTTATAGCTAGATAGCTTAGCTTTAGCTAGAGATTTGATTTTTCCTAACCATGTTTCTGAATTTGGTGATTCAATTTTGACTGTAGACTTTTGTAGTTAACAATTTATAAAATTTGTGGATTATTATTATTGAGGAAGGGGTCTTATTATATAGGCCAGACTGACTTTGAATTCATGTAACACCACACCCAGTTCAAGGGCTGGAACTTTTTTTTTTTTTTTGAGACAGGATTTCTCTGTGTAGTTTTGGTGCCTGTCCTGGACCCCTCAAGGCAGGCTGGCCTCAAACTTAGAGAGATCTGCCTGGCTCTGCCTCCTGGGATCAAAGGCGTGCACCACTGGCTCCCAGCAGACTGAAACTTTTACATGGGGTAGGTGAAAGCTCTGCTGCTCAGCTGCATTCCCAGTCCCCCCAACCTTTTTTTTTTAAACATCAAGCATGAGTAGTTGATGTGTAAGTTTTAGTTTTCCATAAAATGCAAGAAAATTAGAATTGAGAAGTAGATTGTAACCTTTCCCCACTTTTTTTCAGAGGCAGTACCTCACTGTTGCCTAAGCTGGCCTCATGCTTATCCTGCCTTTGCTGCCCAGGTGCTGACAGTAGAGGCAAGTGCCACCAAGCCTGCCATCACTTTCTTTTACAGTGGCAAAAAGATTTTATTTTTTGAAACAAGATTTCCCTATGTAGCCCGGGCTGGCTTTGACTCCAGATCCTTCATTTTCCTTTTCCAGACAGTTTCTACTTTGTATCTTGGCTGTCCTGGAACCTCAGCTATTGTGAGTTTCCTTGACCCAGAGGCCCACCTGCCTGTGCTTCCCAAGTGCTGGGACTAAAGGCATTCACCACCACCCTCAGGCTTCTGTTTCCATTTTCTGAGTGTTGGAAATAATGGCATGTGTTACCACATTCTTCAAAGAAATGCAGTTTAAAAAATCTTTTATTTTGAAATAATTTTAGATTTATAGAAGAGTTGAAAAAAAGGGAGAGGCATGCTGGGTGTGGTGGCTCACACCTTTAATCCTAGTATTGGGAGGCAGAAGCAGGCATATCTTTAAGTCTGAGGACATCCAGGGTTACAGAGAAGAAATCCTGTCTGGAAAAACCAAAGGAAAAAAAACCAAAGGAACGGTGTGAAGATGATGAGTTAGGACAGCCAGGGCTATATGGTGAAAACTGTCTCAAGAAAAGATGGTTCAGTGGGTAATGTTCTTGCTGTGCAAGCCTGAGGACCTGAGTTTGAACTTGCAGAACCTTCATAAATATGTGCACAGTGGATGTGTTAGCAGAGGGAGATAGCTATGTAGTTTGGGTGAGAGAGTGGGAGTGGGTGAGCATCTGTAATCTCATGAGTCCTATGGGTAGATGGGAGGCAGGGACAGAAGTTAAATAAAAGGTCAGCTAGCCCTAGAATATATTTGAGGTGTTTAGGGGTGATGGTGATGATGACTACAAAGATAAGGAGCCTAGCTGAGTGTAGTGGCTCACACCTTTAATCCCTCACAGTTGAGAGGTAGAGGCAGATGGATCTGAATTTG